TTTTTGGAAGAATATTCTCATTAAATGCTTCAATTATGTTTTCCTATCAGACAAGTTTGGTGAAGATAACTATGGGTTTCAATTTATTTTTTATGCTATTTAGTATTTGGATTCTCACACATTGAATGACATCAGATTTGGCATCTAATCTGGTTTGATTAACTATTTTTTGACTGAGAAAAAAAATACTTCATTTGGTACTTATATTTTTAGGACTGTGAAGTTTTTTTCCTCAGCAAATACATTCTACTAATATCTTAAATTACCATCTATTTTTTATGGTAAAATTTATATTTTTTAGAAAAAATATGACTTTAAAATTTGAATTTTAAAAGCATATATAGATTTCCAACTTGATGGTTGGACCTAATTAACTTGTTTTTAGTTTAGTTAACCTTGAGTTTGTTGACTGTTTTAAAAATAAAAAAGCAAATAAATCAAATTAATTTCAATTGGTGGACTTTTTTTTCCCTATTCCGAACTTAAATTGAACTCACCCGTAATATTTCTGTTTTTTTATTTGGAATTTTGTTTAAAAAGTTTTTTTTCTTTATTAAAATTTATATACCATACTTTTTATGAATTTTTTTAGTATACTAATATAATTTTTTTTTCTGTTTTTTAAATTTCTCTTCACATAGTGCATTCTTCAACTGTTCCTATTTAAAATGTTGTAATCTTTACATAATAATTGAGAAAGTTTTGTTTTTTTGGGTGAAATTGATAAAGCGAAAATACTCAAAGAAACTGGAAAAGGTAGAAAGCAACTTATAAGGTAACAGAATTAGGTGAAAAGAGAATATTTTTATGAAAAATAGATTACTAATTTTTTAAATAAATTAAATTTTAGTTTTTAAATTCTTCTAACTATACATTCATCTCATTTCCTATTATATCCTTAATATATATATATATATATATATATATATATATATATATATCTCCTGTTTCTTCTATAAATAATTATTAAACAAATAATTAAATTGGATATGTAGAAGATATTAAATATTTTCCACCAAACAAAAGAAAGATATTAAACGCAATTAATTTTCATTAATATTTGAAATTAAATAGTACTTTATATAACTAGGTTTGTAGAAGATAAAGAACAAAATATAGCATTAATATGCTAAAAATACCAGGTTGTATTAACAAATATTATTTGAAGGTGATGATGAAATTTTGAATTTAAAAAATCCTTAATTACGCAATAAGTGTTTAAATTGAATTGGAGCTTTTTTTGAGAGAGTTCCCTGAACTCCCTTGCAGCTTGTGTTTCTCTCTGTGTTGTTCATGTCCTTCTGAGGTAGAGAGAGACACCGTGAGCGTTTCCGTTCAGAGACAGACAGAAAAGAAAGTGTTCAGAAAGAAGAAAGCACAACAATGTCTTCCTTTGATTTGTTACTGTTTTCTCTGAGCAGGGTCTTGTGTAGTCCCATCGCGGTTTTCTTTCAGATCCAGGTTTTTCACTTATATCACTTTTTGATCTATCTCTGTTTAAAGCTTTTGATTTTGGGGGTGACTAATTTTGTCTCAATTATTGTTCAACTAATTCAGCATTTGTCTCTTGTTGGTGGGTAGATATTCTTTCTTTCCTTGCATTTCTTGGCTTCCAGGTTTTTGTGGGAACCAATATGAACTTGTTCCTCTTCATTCAGTATCTCTATGCGAGGGTTTTTCAGCTGAGTTATGATGGTTTTGGTACCGAACAAAATTGTGCTTTTTATGTTTTATTTGTTTGTGGTTACAAAGGGTCTGGGGAGGGAAAGTGGGTATGTCTGGATGACGTGCTTCCCAATGGTACTTGGTGAAACACGAGATAAAGCTCCTGTGTTGGTAATGATGCGTTTGATTTAAGCAATTGGGGCAATTTGCTAGTTCTTGAATTAAATTGAAGTTTCTTTTTTCTATGGGTTGTTGAAACCAATTTCTGCCTCCAGGAAGAGGATTGAATTCGTTTTGTGTTTTGTTTAAGTTTGAGAAAGTGACCTAGTTTAGCCTGGTAGGATATGGATGGAAGTCTCCAGTATTTATTTTTTATCTGTGAAATCTTTTTCACAAATTTTATTCTCGCCCAGAAATTTTGACAGTTGAGGTACCGGCATGTGTGTCATTTTTATTGATTTAGCATCCGGAATCCCTTTATATCATGGCAAATACAGAAAATAGCACCAGTGGAAATGTAGCATATAACAATGGGAATAGGAATGTTATGGCGGGATTGAATTTCATGTCACCCATTGCGTTATTAAAAAAAGATAATCCAAACCATATTGATAGCAGTTATTAAGTTTTATAAATATTCCACAGACAGGTAATGACCCTTAAACATAAATAAATTCCAATAACTTATATAATAAACAAGTTATTTATGAAATCATGTAAGACGAAAAAAAAAAATCACACAAATACTCATGAATAGAGAGCTTCTAAAACTGCATATAAGTTGAACAATAATCCTGTTTCAGCATCATAATCCTGTCATTTTTTATCCATTAATCCACACACTAACAACATACCTAGAAAGGAAAAGTAGTGTGCTCACCACCAGAACTGTAGGTAATTTCTTCAGGAAAGAACTCTTTATTGTAAAATCTTAAGGCTGCTGCAACATGAATCATCGCCATAACATATGGTGCTACAAATCCCCATGATAAATAACACGGTGTGGTAAGTAAACAATGCACGATTCATTATCCAGTTAACATTTGTTGTGTAGGACTTCCAAAACAAATGTTTGCTTTCCTCAAGTAATTCCAATATTACAAAACGAAAAAGAAAGTAAATCATCAAAAATGCAAAGAAACACAATTTAAGATGAGAAATAATCACAAACCTTCCAAAATTAAGATCACTTGCAAGGGGATGAGGAAACACAGCAACAGGGGGAGAAGTAATGAGCCTTTTGTGAGCCCCTGTATAATAAATTGTAATACTTGTTAGAATATTAAGATTCTTATTCTTTTAGATGACTCCTTTGTTTAGTTGACTTATTAAGTAGGGGTATAACAAAATTCACAACGGTACTATTTTGGCCTATATTATCAGTATAAGTAGGACTATTAGTGGTTAGTACAAAACATTAACATCTGTAAATGAAATACACACACATACATGTTCTCTTTTCTCATTATTTTCCAACTTATCTGTATAAATTCAATAGCAATGAACTCACTCAATAAATAGGAATGAAATGGATAGGAAAAAACATTAAATATGTACCATAAAAGGTTAGTCTATCCAAATGGAATGAGTAAGAGCCTTTACATTGCCAAAAAAACGATGTCATATATGTATGTGAGTGTGTGGAGCAGTCTCTTGCACAATAATAGTTTAATGAAAACAACATTACCCAAAAGAAAACTACTATCATTCAATGTCATTTCTGCAAGATGGCACATAAACAAGAAAATTGTTCATAGGATTGCCAAACTATAGGAATTAGCTTCTTCGTGGATCAATCAGTCAATAATTCATTATTTTCAATGAATGATACAGATAAAGTAGTGTATACAATGAAAAGTGAACATTAAACAAAAAGATAAGAGAACCAAAGATTAACCGGATATGGCGCAAGAGTCATATCATTCAGAATATCCACCATCTTTAAGTCCTGAGGACTACACATACGATCTCATGCCAAAGTCATCGCATGCATCTGAAAGAAAAAAAAAAGCTAAAATAGTTAGAAACATAGTTTCTTTCAAAGCATCAACTTGAGTAAAAAAGAACAGTAAAAGCTACTTGCCATCATGCACCCTCCCCACAAAAAGAATGTTTTTCCACCAGTGGCAAAGCCCATTGAACAAGGCTGTGAAATAAAATAAAAGCACATTAGGAGCAAAAGAGTGGAATTATTATAACTAAATCTCGTCAAATATTAGGATTTACAAAAAATCCAAAACTAAAAGTTATCCAATAAATCCTAAAACTTGAGTAAATTCAATTAGCTGAGTTTTCTTTGTAGGACTTGTACACTTATAACAAAAGGAATAAAAGAAAACTCAATCTTATACACGACATGTGCTGCAGAGATTGGAGATTACATCCAGAGGAAGTTGTGTACCATATGGTAATTCATAGATGCAGTCACTCCCCAGGCTTCCAGATGGCAGATCAAGAGGGGTATCCCGTTGAAATAAATATCTGCAAGCATCAAAGAATTAAGACCATAATAAATTAATTCAGCGGAAAGTGAAACCCAATAGTTATAATAATCCTTTAGAAAAGAAACCACAATAAACAAATTTAAGTTAGACCTCAGGGTCTTCTCATCTCACGAGTGAGTGCCTCCATTGATCCCGGATGTAACCAACATCATCATCCAAAAAAATAGAAATACTTGCTATCTTTAGGCATTGTTCCACTCCAACCTGCACAGTGTAAGACACTCAACACACGTGTGATGGTAAAATACATCCTAAGCAAGGACCAATCTAGGAAATCAACAATGATGACACATGAACCAATTTTCAATGTGGGATTATACGAGTTAACCCTGGTCTCACATGGTATGTGCCTAGTTAGGGGTTACATATAGAGAAGTGCTTTCTAAGATCCAAGATCATCATTTCAACATAGATTCAGGAATTGACTTCCACAAAAATAAAAGGAAGATAGGATTACGTTCCGTATATAGCCATGGCCCCAAGCACACTGAGTATTTGAAAAAAACTATCACAAATATATGTCAACAAAATCCATTACCAATTATTGTGAATTTTTTGACTACAAGTTGTTGACAAAATCAGCTACCAACAACCTTAGCATCAACATGATCTGCATATATCAAATAGGCATGTATTTAGAGGAATTGACACACAGACAAAGGTAATGGAGACAGTCAAAAACAGAAAAAACTAAACTCCAACAGCAAAGCAATTAATTGAAAAGACTAAGAAGTGTGAGCGGCAAAACTTAAACGCAAATAATGAAAGACATGAAAGTGGAAATAAAATGAAAAACATGAGAGAATAACTTGTGAGCTTATTTATACCTCAAATTCTGCTATTAGCCTTGATACAGCATGGTAAGCAGGATCCTCGATACTTTCTACCACAAAAAGAAATTCAATAGGACCACCATATAGAGTGTTATCTGTGTTTAAAATGAACAGAATCAGATATTAAAGAAAGTGGACAACAGTTGTTCACAATTACAACCAATTATTATTTACTTTGCAACAAAACTGAATAACTAATAGATGACTACAATGAACATAGATCATACCAATTTTAAATTACAAATTTAGGAAAATTGCAAGAGAAAGTGTGTGAAATACATAAATCATACAAGATCGAATTATAATTCCAACTTTCCCTATTTCTAGGTATTACTATTACTGTGAAAGAACCAAAAAGGCACTGCACAGGAAACCAAAATATGGAAACCTCAAATAAATTCCAGGGACATGTCATATAAGTTATCACCTGACTCCTCCAGTTATGGAGATTATGTTCTCCAAACCCTTTTAGGGGCATAATCACAGTTACTCTTGGAAGATTGAGTTGGTAGGAGTGCTCAAGTTCGTTAATGTCATGAGAAAGGAAAGAAAAGCTATTGCCATTCTTCATACAATCCTTCATTTGTTTGATCTCTCTGTTCCTGTGAGTGGGGGAAAAAAACTGTAAATTTCTCAATGAAATGAAAGGTTTCTAGTTGATTTATATTCGTGACTACCTCACATAAGCAGAAGGCCCAACAAGAGCAGTGTAGCAATATCACCCCCTGCAGACAAACATAAAATTGCAGGTTTAATGCAATGTTCTCTTAAAAAAAACGGTGGAGAAAACAAAGCGAGATTTCAATTTAAGGAAACATAGATAATTATCATTCAATATTGAAATGCAAGAGTTATATTGCCATACTTAAAACTGCCACAAATACACATAGCCCATATTCTGAAACTTAAGGTTCCATTACCTCCTTTATTATTTCCATTTCATTCAACAAACATGCAATTTTACAACCTGAGCTTGAAATGCAGCTCAAGGGAAATCCCTTTCAACAATGCATAATTTTCTATCTCAATTATTTATATTGTTTCTCTGTTTCTAAATGTTAATTTAAAGTCTATATAGACATCCCAAC